CTGCAACACGAGATGTTCTAATTGTTATTGCACAAGCATTTTTTGACAATGTTCCCATATGGCCGCCCACATCCTGGCAACAACGTTTGGAATGAGATGACCAAAACATGGCGTGAGAACGACAGGTAGAATATAATATTCGAACCACAACTGGTAAAATTAATGTTATACACGGGACTACCCGTCATGCATCATTGTCAGCGATTGGCTTCTTTCTACATTGTGTTTTTCACTTGCATGACAACGACTGACTAACCGATAGATAATAAATTGAATCTAAATTTAAAATCAACTTCAAATTACTTATCGACTGTTATTAGTCACATTTTTGGAAGATGACTGAAACAGTCATTGACTCCGTGCTTGCATGTCGACAACAATTTGAAGAAGGTCAAATTGTTGAACTGATACAACGTTTTATATGTTTTCAAAAATGTTATATAGAGCAAAAAGTAACCGAACAGCTGTGTTGTTTGGTTATGAAGTTTTCGGAATCAATGGAAGATAACCACTGCATCGTTATTGAATCATGTATGAATCACGGAAACTGGTCCGATTCAAATTGGGCAACATTTTAGAATGCACGAGTCGTTTGTTTGCTTAGATGCCCTAAGGAATTAGTGAAATTAGGTTTAAACAAGTAATGTGCAGACAGAATGCCTGTCAATACTGTTAAGCAAGGATTATCGGACGCTGATTATTGTTGGCATCATAATTAGAATATGCTATACAGTGTAATATGCAAATACAGTCAATGAACACCAGACATGAAATGAACATGGATCATTGAAGATGAAAATACTCATCTTGGAAATTGGTCGACGACACACTGCAGATGATAACATATCTGAATCCACAACCTGGTTAATTCTTGTTCTTCATGAATATTAAATATCCAACATAATAACTCCAGAAATTGAAATGAAACATGATACATATGTGTATTGTCTGAAATAAACCACATATTAATAATAAATAAACCATACTTGTACATTCACATTTATTTCTTATGTTGTAGTATTTCTTGAGTTTTTTATTTTCAATTTTGTTGATCAGACCGTGACTGCTTTCACTTTGTGCATCTAAAACCGCAGAACTATATTAAAATCAAATACTATCAGAATATTCCTGATAATAAATTGAAATTTGTTATGATAATTCACAACTAATTGATAATAATTATAGTTATTGTTGAATTATGGCACTCCTTACAATTCCGTACGCCAAGTTGGTTAGTCATCTGGCGTAAAACCATTCTCATGTAGTTATTACACTATATCATTATTTTGTTTCTGTTTCAGCTTCCGCTGTTGCCACAGCAACTATTTGGTATGCGATTGAGAAGGCAACGTACTATGATGATCTTAATCTCGATTACGATTTCGGGTACTCAATCATCATCGGATGGGTCTCGGTACCATTGGCCATCGTAGCGGGCAGTATGCTGTTAGCTACGTACTCAAGGCATTGAACAGAAGTTGTTGATGTAGTGGGGTGGTGCCAACATTATCGCAAAGTGCCGAAGTAAAGATTGTAATTTCATGCATGTTCCGTCTTTACATTAACGAAAAGTCCGGGAGATTGGGTATACCAGCTCAATGTTCTTGAAATAGGCAGTGTGTTGTTGATTGGTTTTAGCGTTGATGATTTACTTGTATCTCCGTGCCACACATATATTTGTAATTTACCTGCACACGCGCACTAGAAATGTAAAACACATTTGCGGTATTTGCAACTATATAGGCGAATACGCATGCCTCTTATTTACTTCGTAGATATTACAAAAACAATCAATTATGTGACTCTCATACAATACTGTGCCTGATTGGCTACCCATCTCTAACACCTAACGGTCAGACCAATCAGAGAGCAGGTTATGTTTGACAGTCTTTTGTTTCGACGTATCAAATTCTGCTTTACACATATGCTTTGAGTCGACCCAACCATTAAAGCGGGGGAATCGTCACCTGCGCATGCGTCAGATGGCCATAGCGTGTCATTGTTTACAAACAAGCGAGTACCCATGAGCCTTTGCGTTTTTAACGTGTGTTCGGTCGCTTGGGACTCCATTCCCGCGCATAGGCAGGTGACGACCCATTCTCCTTCCCAGAGTTCCTTGCGGTTAGATCGCCGAAAGTATCTCTGCCACCACACACCGCCATTTTGTGGTGAAACACGACAAGACTTTTACTACGCGTATCATTTGCGTATTTTTGTTATTGGATGGCTTTCGTGTTGATTTATTCCTACTGGAAAACAAGTTTTAAAATATTTCGTCGATAGCTGATAATGATTTTTTCGTAAAAACACTGAAAACGGTGAAATAGTTATAATTTACAAAAGAAAATAATTTCATCGCGGAATAACGGTTACTAAGGTGTTACTCGGTTCATCAAGCTGACGGCCCTGTCGATCGCTAGGCGAAGACATATGAAGAAAGGAAAGCACTTCGTGGTATTGACAGCGAACACGTTCTATTGCCACTCCGTTTGTGCCAAGGAAAGTAAAAATATGAGCTCACTATGAAAACAGCCAGAATCTACAAACAACGCGCACACTTTAGTTAGGTTCGAAAATCGAACACCTGCATTGCAATGTTTTGGTGCGTGTCTTTGAAAGTAGTACCACTGTGATGCATCGACAAATCAACAACAAGCATGAGATCGCGTGGTGGCAGAGATATATTCGTAATAGAACTCTGCCTGGGGAGATTGGTGACGACCTTCCCGCTTTAAGGCGAGACGCAAGCAGCAATCCTTTGCGCCCGCTCAGACAAAGAAAAAACACGCATGTTTTGTCAATGATTCAGCAATCTTTTTTACTCATTTTTTTTTTTTTATTTGAGTTTAGTAGTACTAGATTTATTGTTATAACAAGATATTTCACATCCTGTGGTCTGTAAAAAAATCAGAGTAAGTCGACGCATTAAACGGAATGTATTCTGTAGTACTATCTGTTCGAACATGCGCGTGTTCTGAAATATTGTTGATATTTAATATCTCGTAAATCATTGATTCAGTTGCGACAGAGCAGTGGTATACATGTATGTGGCGCAATGTGATACGGATACAAATATAAATATGAATCATTTGCACTTTCACTAAAATGTTCTTAATTTTTCAACTTTTGCACATATGATTTAAATATATTTTAATTACAAATATACTCAAAGATACAATTATGAATATTTTAGTTTTGTGTAAGAAGGACCAAAACAGACTTTCTAATTTGTTTCACTG